GTTTGCAGTGAGTTGGCATTCTTGTTTAGTCTTATGGCTCAGCCTACTCTTGTCAAACGAGTGATTGAGTCACAGAGACAGGATCCGGATTTAGATGCCATTCGCACCTTGATCTCCAATGGTAAGACAGTGAAGGATTGGACCTTGCATGCAGATGGGGGTCTACGGTTTAAAGATTTGTTGGTTGTTCCCACAGTTTGTCGTGAGGACGTTCTACGGGAGTTTCGCACTTCCCGCTTTGCAGTTCATCCAGGTGGTACTAAAATGTATCACAATTTAAGACGTCAGTATTGGTGGAACGGGATGAAGAAAGATGTTGTATAGTTTGTGGCTAAGTGCCTTACCTGTTAACAGGTGAAGGCTGAGCATCAGAGACCGGCTGGTTTGTTGCAACCATTGCCTGTAGCGTAGTGGAAATGGGAACATATTGCTATAGATTTTGTGACAAGTCTTCCAAGGTCACAGAGGGGCAATGAAGCAGTATGGGTCATCGTTGATAGATTGACCAAGACGGCTCACTTTTTGCCTATTAAGGTAACAGACGATGTAGAGAAGCTTGGTGTACTATATGTGAAGGAGATTGTAAAGTTCCATGGAGTTCCAGTAACCATTGTCTCAGATAGGGATGTCAAGTTCACTTCGAAGTTTTGGGAAGGACTTCAAGCAGCGTTTGGGTCAGCGCTGCGTCTTAGTACGGCGTTCCATCCACAGACTGATGGCCAGTTGGAGCGTACCATCCAAATCTTGGGGGATATGCTTCGGGCATGTGTACTTGATTTGGGAGGTCGTTGGGAGGATCATCTTCCACTTATTGAGTTTACCTACAACAACAGTTATCAGGCGAGTATGCAGATGGCTCCATTTGAGGCGTTGTATGGTAAACCTTGTAGGTCTCTTATTTGTTGGATTAAGGTGGGCGAGACCGCCGCCTTAGGACCCGACATAGTACTCAAGACTACTGAGAAGATTAAGCTGATCATACAGAGGTTAGTTATAGCTCAGAGCCGATAGGAGAGTTATGCGGATAAACTGAGACGGCCGTTATCCTTTGAGGTGGGAGACCACGTTTTTCTTCGGGTTTCTCCACTGAAGGGGTTGTTGAGGTTCGGGAAGAGTGGCAAGTTATCGCCATGATTCATTAGACCTTTTGAGATCTTGGACCGGGTAGGAGAGGTTACCTACAGACTTGTTTTGCCACCACAAATGGACAGATTTCACAATGTCTTTCATGTATCGATGCTACGGAAGTACGAGCCGAATCCATCTCACATTTTGAGTTGGGTTGATGTGGACATTGATGAGAATGTTTCCTACGAGGAGGGACCAGTTCAGATCCTTGACATACAGTAGAAGGTATTGAGGAACAAGACGATACCATTGGTGAAAGTTCTTTGGAAACACCACGGAGTCGAAGAGGCTACTTAGGATCTCGAATAGGAGGTTCGCTCCAAGTACCCAGCGTTGTTTTCTTCCTCAGGTATGGCTTGATTTTGGAGACGAAATCTTTTAAAGTTGGAGAGAATGTAATGTTTAAGTTTTTCTTATATGTGTGTGTGTGTGTGTGTGTGTGTGTGTGTGTGTGTTAGGAGAATTTTTTATTTTAGTTGCGGGACCCACATGATATTATATCAATTGTGAAGGCTTTATAGCCATTACCTTCGGCAGACTTCTCATTTCTCAAGGCCAGCTCTCTCTCTCACTGGATTTCTTTTCTTTCTTTTTTCTTTTACAACTTCAAATCTTGATTTCTCTTTCATCCCTTGGTATTTATATGAATGCCGTTTACGGCTATTTGAAGCTCACGACGAGGACTACAAGTTGATAGGAGCAATTCCTTAGTTGGTGCACTATAGGAAATTCGAAAAATCCTAGGGTTTGAGGTGAAAATTGGGGCTTTTCATCTATTTAAAGGTAGGGGTCTTTAATTTGCATTTTCTTGTTCCTTTGTGAGCCAATTCTTGTTATTTGATGCCAACATGCTTAATTGAAATTAATTACCTCTAGAATGATTTTCTTGTGGGTGTAAAGTTCAAGATTATATGTGTAGTTATTGATTTGTATAAAAAGCATGCTTCATTATTAATTTTCTTTATGTTATTGTGTTGACCAAATTACTAGGAATGTTACATGGAAGCTTATGGAAATTTTCTTCGAATTATTGTAAAACATGCTTAATATGTTAATTTTTCCATGCATATGATGCTTAATAATTTATGGGAAATTTTATGTGGAAGTATGTTAATTCTGTGATAATAATTCTTTCAATTTCCATAGTATTAAAAAGGCATGTGATATGCATTCATAGCATGGGCATGAAAAAGGGTACAATGATTTGATAAGAATGAAAAAGGAGATTTTTTGGGAGAATTTGATGAAATGGTTTTGAGAAAACCCGGTCGCTGCGGAGTCACCAAAAGGCCAGTGTGTTAATATAACTTAGAGGGAACTAGGGAGATTGACCTAGCGTGGTTGAGCTATCTGGGCCCCAAATGACGCTGCGGAGGTACCAAAGATCAGGGACAGTAGCCAATCCTTCTCTCGTGTCGCTGTGGAGTCACCAAAGGGCGGGTTATATTAACAGTTGTGAAGTGATGGAAGTTTTCTGAAAATGAGGAGTGACATGCATGACATTGCATTCATGGCACGATATTCATTTGTTTTGAACTTGCAGATTTACATTGTATTTTTCCCGGTTTAGCATGACCCCTCCCCTATTATCCTATTCATTATTTGGGTTCACGGGGTCACAAGAGGTGCGTCTTAGGCACCACCTACTAAGCTTTTTATTCACCCTATTTTTTAACATTTTTCAGGGCAGGAAAAGATGTAGTGGATGCCGATCCCTCTCAAGCATGAAGAGGACTAGAAATTTATTTTGATACCTTTTGTGTATTAGTTAATCTTTTGTGAAGTTGCAAATCATGGTCATGTAACATAACTAAGATACTTGATTATATTTTATGTAAATTGAGACTATGTAAATGCTTGAGTTGAATGGGATGACGATGAAGGGCTAACTTGAGCAGGTTGTCGATATTGTGGTATTGGGGAATGTATTATATTTTTTTTTGTATTGTGTGTTGGGGCAGGTTGGATAGGTCTTGAAAGGCACCTTTTTTTTCATTTGAACAGGTTGTTGTAGGTACCTTTTTAGTAGATGTAATGACCCTCACCCTGGCCAGACACAATATTGTCCGCTTTTGGCTCACCCAGACCAGAGACTTCCCAGGGGGGTCACCTATCCTGGTACTACTCCAAGTTAAGCACGCTTAACTACAGAGTTCTGATGGGTTCACGACCATCACGGCTTTAAAACGCGTTGTGTCATAGAAGGGTGTTGAATCTACATATAGCACTTACTCCATCCACACCCAGACGATGTGGGATTGTGCACCTGTAGCTCGCCCAGTGTGGTAGCCTACTGGTGCCCCCTGCACACGCTCACACACACCCGCCCACAACCAAACACAATATTGTCCGCTTTTGGCTCACCCAGACCAGAGACTTCCCAGGAGGGTCACCCATCCTAGTACTTCTCCAAGTTAAGCACGCTTAACTACAGAGTTCTGATGGGTTCACGGCCATCACGGCTTTAAAACGTGTTGTGTCACAGAAGGGTGTTGAATCTACATATAGCACTTGCCCCATCCACACCCAGACGATGTGGGATTGTGCACCCCCGCCCACAAGGTCGCCACAATCACCCCCCCCCCCCCCCCCTTTGGGGCCCAACGTCCTCGTTGGCCACACTTCCGGCTGGGTCAGACTCTAATACCATTTGTAACGACCCTCACTCTGGCTAGACACAATATTGTCCGCTTTTGGCTCACCCAGACCAGAGACTTCCTAGGGGGTCACCCATCCTGGTACTACTCCAAGTTAAGCACGCTTAACTACAGAGTTCTGATGGGTTCACGGCCATCACGGCTTTAAAACGCGTTGTGTCATAGAAGGGTGTTGAATCTACATATAGCACTTGCCCCATCCACACCCAGACGATGTGAGATTGTGCACCTGTAGCTCGCCCAGTGTGGTAGCCTACTGGTGCCCCCTGCACACGCTCACACACACCCGCTCACAAGGTCGCCACAGCAGAGGTAATGCCGAATTTTTTTTTTACAAATGGTATCAACTTAAAGTCGTTACAAGGTGGTGATGATGGAAGGCGGCGGTGGTAGCAATAACGGTGGTGGAAGGCAGTGGAGGTGGTGGTGGTGGTGACAATGGTGTAAATAGCGGTGGTAGAAGGCAGTGAAGGTGGTGGTGGTAGAAGGCGGCAGTGGTAGCAATGACGGTAATGAAAAGCAGTGGCAGTAGTGGAAATCGATATTGGTGGCAATGGCAGTGCCGTGAAATTAAGTGCAGTGATGGAGAAAAATTATGCTTCTGCGAATATCTTATGCTCGTCTAAAAGTTTAAGTTCATTACCAACTTAATTTTCCAAGCATATAAGCTTCCAAATAAAAAAAAGTGCCATTTTTATGCCGAACACAAATGCCCAAGTTAAGACCTCAAGCAGTTGCAATCAGCAACCTTCTATACACAATGACGAAGCCATAGTTGTGAAATATTCACAAATGAATAAGGAACAATTTTGACTTGACAAAGTAAAAAGGAAATTGCAGAAAAAAGCCAATCTGGGAAGATGGAGATTTTTTTATTTTTATTTGTGTCTTGACGAGTAACTTGCACACCCAGCCGGCCACACTACTCCTGCAAGGACTCAAACCCTCACTGCTCCTACAAGAACACAAACCCTCAATCTTGAAAGGTAGTGATGAAATTAAAACATGAACATGACAGGACACGGTGAGAAAATATATATATATATATATGGGTACGGCTGGTTTATGTCAAAAATAATAAAATAATATATTTTGGTCATTTTATCATGAATCACTAATTTGGAACCTAGTGTTATACATACTAGTGCATGCCGTGTCCAACATAATATATTTGTATATATATACAGATGCAGAACCTCTAAATGCCCTTATACATGTAAAATGAGGGATAATTGACTTTATTAGCCAAAGTATTGAAAGTTTGAACAAGGGATAATTGTGAAGGACCACGCATGCTAAAGACACTATGTCTACTTTGACGTGTTAAAATGGACAAAAGAAAAACAAAACAATTGTTAGAATTATGTTAGGAGTTAGAACTCGAATTAGGAAAAAGTAAAAACAAAGCCTCCATCGCAGTGCATATTAGAAGTCATCATTTTCATGGCCCAGAAGTACCTCCACTACCTTACTCATGGTGGGTCTTGCATCTTTGTCTTGCTGATCTGCACATTGCAAAGCCACTCTAACCAGAAGCTCCATCTTACCCTTGTCATATTCACCATCCATGTTACGGTCGACAATTTCTTCAATCCACGGTGCATTTTCTGTGGCTCCATCCATCTTCTCCCTCACCCATGCGACGAACCGTCTCTGCTCCATCATCCCATTATCATCCATCGTCTGGACACCGATTGGGCCCCTTCCGGTTACCATCTCCAACATAACGATTCCGTAGCTATAAACATCAACTTTGGAGGTGATGGGCAGATTAAAAACCCATTCAGGAGCCATGTAACCTCTAGTACCTCTTATCCTAGAGAAGCTCGAATTATCAATGCCACCTCTATTCAAGAGTTTTGACAGGCCAAAATCTGCAACTTTTGGATGGTAATTAGAGTCTAATAGTATGTTCTGAGGCTTTACATCACAATGTAAAACCCACTCCAAACACTCTTCATGTAAATAAGCTAGACCCTTTGCAGTACCCAACGCGATTTCAAACCTCTTCTTCCAATCAAGAGTATTGGAAGTTAGATTTTCCGCTAAAGATCCATGCTCCATGTACTCATACACCAAAAGTCTGTGCTTTCCCTCCGCACAATAACCCCACGTCTCTATCAAGTTCATGTGATTAAGCCTCCCAATTGTGCTCACTTCTGCTAGAAATTCAGCTTCTCCTTGGCTAGCTTCGCTGAGACACTTGATTGCTGCAACTCTATTGTCAGACAATGTGCCTTTATATACAACACCACTACCTCCTCTCCCAATTTCTACACTGAAATTGCGCGATGCCTTCTTAAGCTCGGCATAGGTGAATCTTTTGAATCCCATAGCGATGTGAAGGTAACCTTTCTCAATTACACCAGAGCCTTCACGGTTTCTATACAATACATACAAAACAAACAAGAAACCAATTATCTCAATTCCTCCACATCCACGGGCAAACCAAAGCATGAACTTCACCGTGACATTTTCATGCTTCTTCGTATAAGTTCTGTCGAGCGGTACTGTAACTAGGCGCGAGCAATCTAACTGGACTTCTTGAACGGTCTTGTCATGGGAGGAAAGATTAGCTCTCGGCAATTTTATATACATAGGGTTATCAAAACCCAGCGAGCGATGCCCATTGAGCAATTGAGTCTTAATGTAACAGAGATAGTAACCATCCTTGCTAAATTTGTATTGGATCCCTTTGCAACTGCAAAGCTGCAAACAGATCTCCTCACACCACTCTAAGGTTTGATTTCGCGAGTACCAAATATCATAGCCATAGAATTCAACATGAGGAAATTTAACAAAGACGACCTCTTCATTGTTGCAAGAGAGATTGAAATCTGGTTCGCAACCATAAGACCAATCTGTGTGATTTCTCATCTTATGTCCCGGTAGGCAATTGCATCTCCTGCCGGTTTCAGCAGTGTAACTGCACAAACTGTTTGCTCCACAAATACCATGAATGACGCATGGGGTAGAGATGGCTTGCCAAGAAATAGTCCAAGCTCTTCTCCTCTCATCTAGACTATATAATCGAATGTTTCCGTCAGCATCAATAGTCATCCTTCTTTTAGGCCCCATGCCCAAATCCACAGATGAGAACTGAAAATCATCGGATGACTTGAAACGGCCATAGGTATCGAGTACTGCAGTTCTACTGTTATTGGAGGCAGACCTTCCAGTTTCCGCTGGTCGCTGCCATGGTTTTGGCCAATAAATGCTGGATGTTTCAAGACCATCAAACCGAAGACGTAGAATGTTATCATCATCAAAATAGAGCTTGTAGAAACCAGAAGAATAACCGCCTTGGCTTCTTGATGAAACGAGTATGGTATCTTTGGTGAGTAGTTGTTGAGGAAGAAGAGTATCTGTTGGCGAATCAAAGCTTTGCCAAAGAATTTTACCCTCCAATGTATGAAGAACAAGATTAGCAGTGTTATAAAGTTGCAATTGCACAGAAGAAGCAGAGGTCGTTTCAGTAGCCCAAAGAGTGAGACGACCAGCATCTGATAAGATAAGATTACCAGTTTTTAATAGGGAGAGCTTTGAGTATCTTCCATTAACTGGTTGGTCTCGGTTTGCCATCCAAACCACGCTGTGACTCCCGTCGTATAATGCTTTACTGAACCACACTGCAAAGCAATAAGCATCATCACCAACGGGATAAAACCCCGCAGAGAATATGCGGTCTGCTGAAATCAAAACGTCGCCTGATTTCTCCACAGAGAGAGATGAGCCTTTCCTCATTGTACTGGGTGTTAAAGATGAAAATGATAAAGATAGGGCCAAGGAAAGACAAATGAATAAAAATGGGGCACTCATATTGGCTTTAGCTGCTTAGAGTTGTAAACGGATTATGAAAAAATGTTGAAGGTTGATCTTAATAAATGTAGAAACATACTTGTTTGAAAGAGAAGGTATCCATGTGATGCATCTATGAGAATGAGATTCAAAGAGTTTACTAGGATTTCTTTTGGTTGACCAACCTATTGGTCTTTTATGATACCAGAAACATTGAAGACTTAGCTATCGTAAAGGTCGCTGTCAAGTTCAATAGATAGCAGCCTCATGATAGGGGGTGGACCAGGAGCATCCAATGAATGCTAAGGTACCAACGAAAATAAGTAGGTGAGACATGCATTATTGTAGTAACAGGTTCTACGCGACAGCGTAGTGAAAGCGTCTCTGACCGTTCAATGCGCCTCTTCATTAGAATGATAGATTCAACTAGACTACAGTGACAGAATCAAGGCGACCCCAATTATATTGCCTCTCAAGGTCAATAAGTTTCGGTCACCTGCCACTCAGGCAAGAAACTAATTTTGGATGTTTGAACAAAGGGAATACTGACCTCAGGTTCCTTCATCTTGGAGAACTTTATGCACTCTCGTCTTTACTTACCTTTAGAAACACTTCAGATTCCCCGGAGCAATTCTTACCCCGCAGGCCTTTACTCGAAGAATTATGCTGTTGAGTCTCGTCTTTACTCTTTACCTTTAGAAACACTTCAGATTCCCCGGAGCAATTCTTACCCCACAGGCCTTTACTCGAAGCATTATGCTGTTGAGTTACTTTCAGCGAATGAAGTCTGGTTCTGCTAACTTAAATCCCCAAGGCCAAACCACAGTAACGCTTAAGGAAAAAAATTTCCCAACTCTTTCTATATATACCTTTGTCCATTCCTTAATCAAATCAAAAGAGGCTTAGCAAACTGATTGTTGAAGCTTTTACATAAAAAAACATAGTATTCGGAAACAGACACAAGAATTTATCAATCTACTTAAATATAAAGAGTCACAAAATAAAAACATCATTAACGATAATAAAATTCAATATTTCTCTTCAAAGTCAACACAAGAAAGGTGTCATCTCCAATCAACCTAAATCCCAACAACTTAATGCAGCTAAAAACTTAAAACAAAATATGCAAAGGAAGAAATACTCATTTGGCTGTGTGAAGTGAAAAAAACCAAGAAGCACGACACTGAAATATTACATGAACACATGGCATTAGATGAAGGGGAAAAATTGGAATGACAAAGTTACCAAACAAAGACGGAAACACATCTAGTAAGAAGAGAACAGAAAAAAAATAAAAAATAAAACCCACAAAATAATAGACATAAAACAAGAGAACTGGACAGTTAATTAATAGAAATTCAAAAGCAAAATTAGAAAATGAAAAAAGAAATAGACATATGAGACAAGACAAATATGCAATTATAGCTCTTCTTTTACACAGTGCTTAAGAGTAGCAACCTTCTGGCAACACTCATAACCTAGTGTGGTCCAGTTAATCCAGGGTGCTACACCCTTAATATGATCATTACTTCAAATTCGCACCTTCATAAAACCCATTACCTGAATATGCAATTGAATTTGTTATTAGATTGAGAACAATGAAAAACAATAATAATAATAAATACACAAAAAGTAAAGTTCTAACAAAAAAAGACAACAGGAGTTGGGAATCTTAAAAAATCAAAAAGTTCAAGTGGATTATTAAATCAAAGAAATCAAAATTCAAGAAACTAAAAATAAAAATAATGGCAACAAAGTACAATAACTATATATGTTGCGTAAAACACGTGCAAGAAATATATTAAGTACATAAATAAATATCCCAAAATACAACAAAATGAAACAATGCAGTGCACCTCCAGTATCAGCCAATTATCCCAGAGGAAGGAAAATTCGGAGGTAGAAGTCCACAACATATTCAATATGTCTGATCTCTGACATGGCATTTTTCGCTTTAAAAAGCACTGTGATATGTCTTCAAAGTAAATGCTTATAACAACTCTAGCAGAACTTTTATGTTTTTAGGTCAGGAAAAACACTGTAGAAGGCACATTTGTCTGATCTCTGACATATTCACTATGTCTGATCTCTGACATGGCATTTTTCTCTTTAAAAAGCACTGTGATATGTCTTCAAAGTAAATGCTTATAACAACTCTAGCAGAACTTTTAAGTTTTTTGGTCAGAAAACAAAACTGCAGAAGGCACATTTGCAACAGCAAGAGAAAAGGCTCATGCATAAGCCACTTTCCTTCATCTTGAGCAATAATTGACTCCATGCCCCAGACTCATTCTTTATATAACAATAAGAAATGGCAACTGGTAAAAGGAAAGCATGGAATGAATGAAGGGGGAAGGAAAAGGTCAGAAATGTATAAATAAATAAAAACCAAAAAAAAATTCTTGTTTGTTAAAATGGGAGGGAAAAGGAAAGAAAATTTTCCCTCCAAGTCTATGCCCACTATTTTCCTGCAACCAACAAGAGGTGAAAACAAGGAAGGGAAGAAAACTTTGCATTTAAGCTCTTGCCATTCTAATGACAACCCTTGTGTTAATATGTAACAATATAGTGGCAAAATCAAGCAACTCATATTTACTTCTTTCCTCATTTCCTTCAGATTCCTCAAGTCACACTAAGACACCTAGGTCTTCTAGAATAAGTGCAAAGGACAGCCTTAGGTGTGGTAGAAATGCATATGAAACATACCTATAATTGGAATAGTTTAAGATATACAACACAAACTAGTCAAAAATATTTTTTTTAAACAAATAGACATTAAGGCATATCAATTTAAAAGGGTTCACTAAATTTAAAAACATATATTCTTTCAATTTGCATATACATTCAACTGAATAAAATGTCATGCAAATGTGAAATTCAAATACTACACAAAATATGCCAACCAATAGAAACTTGACGTAGAAACTTAAAAAGAAATATGATTACAAGTCATCATCTATGAGCTTTAGATCTGCCTCATTATAGGGGCCCCATCTATCATCTAATAAGGTGCTACAGCTGAGCGCTATGACTTGTTAAGTACCTAGGCAACTATGATCCTACTCGAGTAAATTAGAGGGATAAAAGACAAGTTCCTTTTCCTAGGGGTACCTATTACGTCCTTCCTACCTTCCCTTCCCTTCCCGTCCCTTCCAATATGTTATTCCTCACACCAAAGGAAGCATAAATCTTCATCTTAGACTTACCTATCAGTGTCAGGTATGTTTTATATAAGTTTGCCTAAATATCAGGCCTACAAAGATCCTCCCTCCCGCTCCCCTTCCCCCATCCCCCACCCCACTTCCCCTTTTTTAAACTACAGTCAGCAACATCTATAGGTTGGGTTTTCGAGGTCCATACCGCTAAATCAATCTTTACCATGGGTAGTTCCATCAAAATAGACACCAGCACCATCTGGATTTCAAGGAATGTCTGATTTAGAGAAACTGATGCAACATATGCCAACACAAAAACTAATTAACAACAAAAACCATGCATTTGAACCACTAACTTACCCGGAAACATAAAAATAAAAATATGCATTTGAATATAAGGTTTTATTGAAATGACAAAAACTCCTCCCTCCTATTTCTTTAGCAGTGACCAACAACCACAAAAGATCTCTAGAGAGGAAAAGAAGAAACAGAGTAATTATTTAATTGTTGTGAACCAATATAAACCATCAAGCAGCTCATATTCAATCAATAATAGAGAGATATTTTAATTTAAGGCAAAGAATACTTGTTGTGCTCATTTCATTAGTCCACACAACCCAGCCACATCTAGTATACTAACTAAGAGCAGAAGGGGATCTCGTTATGCATTGGTGATTGGCAACAAAAGAAGAGATCATTCAACATTCAAAAAACCATAACAATCAAATAGGAGAAAGAACATGCTAAACATAATAACCTCCAGCACAAATCACACTTTTCACTCGTCTATTTATTTTTTGTTTCAATGTCATTTTTCTTCATTTCATCCAAAAAGAAAAGCAATATTAACCATAACAGAAACAAATATATATAAGCATAATGAACTCTGATAGAGATATCACTCTCTTTAAGCATTTGGACTGCCACCATCAACTAAGTAGTACAAGCACAAACGCATGACATGGACGCGGTATAAGATGGATAAGCGGACACATCGGATCCAAAAAATGTAAGACATAGCCAAGGCATGGACGTGAATATGAGCAGATATCAAGTTTTATTTATATGCATCTACTGAATAAAACAATTACCAAATTTTAATTAATTTTTAGTTTCTACGCTATGGATATATAGTATAGAAAATGGAAGTATGCAAAGATCGTAAAAAACATTATATTATGTATGCTATTACTCTCGGTACTTAGTCAATGTCAATTTTTCTTAAGAAGAAAAGGTTAGACACTTTAAGATGTGCTTCTTCTGTTTTCAAGAATTATTGTATTTTTTTGCAAGATTGTTGGACATGCCCACTTTTAGATGCAATTGCACTTTTAATATTTATGCTGACAGTGTCTAAAGTGTACAAAATAATAAAATTTATTTTAAAATTATGGTGGTCAGATATTTATCTAGGATTGCCTAAAAAGACATGTTCAACACAAATTACGACACCTTTGTAGCCGTTATCGTGCTATTTAGACCATCGATAACATAAACCATCAATGAAAGAATTTCAAACAGCCTGTATTTATTAGAACACACCCACATATAACATATGGAAAATTTTAAGCATTTGAAAATTTGGCCATGGAACATATATGAAGAGAATATATGTATGAACTGCAAGTATATAAGGAATGTTACAAGTCAAGACCTTGCTGGGACAAATACAAAACAATCTACAATGGCAAGATTGTTAGCAACTCATTTAAACGACAACAGTCTGAAATGCAACGATAAACCAAAGCGCTTGTCTACAACAATCAAAATGGAAACAAATTATCTCAAATATTTGGAATCACTATAAAGAGTCATCATTGTGGACAATGTTACTTTTCTTCATTTGATACAGTAATTGGTCTTACATATCATTCTGCAACATACTACAAGCTCACTTCCATTTAGCTCTCCATATGAAGCAATCTAATTTTTTGGTATATCTTAAATTATCAATCTTCCCTAATCATTGGACAGCAGCAATCGATTCGGCATCCGAACCCGACTACGGCTAATCATTGAATCTCCAATAATACTTTTAGTTCTGATAAAGTATATTCACTACATCTCCAACTATACTTTTAGTTTTGGTAAAGCTATAATATCTTACCTATCATTTCACAACAAAATTGATAGCAAATCGCTAAACAAAGAAACAACACTTAAAAGGGGGAAAAACTACAAAGTATCTTCACTACATCTCCAACTATACCTTTAGTTTTGGTAAAGTTTAATATCTTACCTATCATTTCACAACAAAATTGTTAGCAAATCGTTAAATAAAGAAACAACACTTAAAGAGGGGAAAATGAAGCACATTCCTACCAGGATCTCAATATATTTAAAACCCTACACATTCATGTATCAATATTACTAGTATATAACCATTCGAAATCCATAAAAGTACAAACAGATAGCAATTCAAATGACCAAAACGCTAGCATAACACATATAAAGCTATAAAAAAAACCCTAGGAAAGATCAAGATTCAGTTTCGACGGTAGAGTTTTCCTCACTGGCGGTGATGGTGGGAGCCACATCGGAGGACTGCGATGCAGTGTCGCCGTCTGCCGCCGAGCCTGAGGCGGATCTGGACTTGACGAGCTCGAGCATGCGCTTGCTGATCTCCTTGGAGTAGACCTGGAGGATCTCCACGCCGTCGTCGTCGGCGGTGGCGGAAGCGGAGGCGGTCGAGAAGGCCTCGTCCTCGATGCGGCGGGCGGCGGTGGAGGCCTCGTCGTGGGGGATGGTGCCGTAGCGCTTGGAGAGGACGGAAGGGGCGAAGAGGGTTTCGATGAGGCGGTTGATGACGGCATCGCGAGTGCGCTGCGTCGGAGGCCAAATGCTGAATGAAGTGTTCATCTTGCTGAATGATGCGTTCATCTTCTCATGTTGTTGCTGTTCGGTTTCGGCCATTGTTGAGGGTTTTGGTTGTTCTTCTACCGCTGGACTTGTCTCTTCGTTTTTGTCGGTCATTTTGAAAGGATACTAAAATGGGTAATGAGCTAAAATTGTGTTTGGTTGAAGACAGATAAAAGGAGAAGAAAAGAAAGTAAATGGGCAAATTACATAAATGGACAAATTATAATAAAGATATATAATAAATTGAGCGGAAGACAATATTAAAAATAGAAAATTAGCAAATTTGGAGGGGCACAGTAGGAATAATAAGTTTTGTTGTCCTTCCAAGGTCATCTGCACCAGCCTCTCCGGATTTTAGCTCTCTAAAAAAGCCACATCAGCTTTTCCAAGAGCCACGTCAGCAATTCCAAGAGTCACGTCAGCATTTTTCGCTCTCCAGAAACATGTACTTCATTAGGTTATCCGAATTTTCGCTTTCCAAAAAATATAATAATAAAAAAAAATTTAATTTTTTTTAGAGAGATAAATACGCGGTTAAGGAATGATTTGATGGAAAATTTATGAAATCGCTATGCTGATGAAAATGTTTAATTTATGTTACATTTTGTTTTATATTAAGATGTTATGACATTTCGTGTACTAGTATTTATATTATGTAATGGTTTTTTAAGATTAAAAATAATATATTGGAATAAGAAAATAAGTATTACAAAATCTTTAGGGAATAAGTAGATGAATTTGTAATTTTAATTATTTTTTTACAAAAATTTTTTTAAAAAAATATTTATATATATATTTTAAAAAATTATAGCCGTTAAGGCACTATTTGTGTCAGCCAAACAGTGCCTTAACGGCCAAATGCATTATTTGTAATATACATTTAAAATTTAAAGCAAAAAAATAAAAATAAAAACAAATTTTAAGGGGAAAAAAAAAAAAAAGGCTTTTTTAATTTATTTTTTGCCCAAATAAAATTTATTTTTGACAAACAGTGCCTCAACAATATATTTTTTATTTAAAAAATAGAGCTCAAAATAACCTGTTTTTAGGTTTTTTTAAAAAAAAAAAAAATCTGCCAAACAGTGCCTGTTCCAGCAACTGCATAATAAGCAGAAAAAAAAAAAAAAAAAAAAAAAAAAAAAAAAAACCAATCGCGAGTCGGCTCGCTAAATTCCGCGAGCCAAAATGGGCCCTACCAATTTTGAAGAGGCCGCTACACGCCCAAAGCCCTTCTCTCTCGCGGAAATTGGGCTATCAAGAGCCCGGTGCAGGTGCTTAAAGAGTAATCACTTGTTGGTATTTTTTTATAAGGTAAATTACTCTGATCTCTTTTAAGTTTGGACAAATTACATATAGATATTTTTTTTTTTTTTTTTTCATAATTGGTGGTAAATATATGCAAAAAAAAAATAAGAATGAAATTACAGGTGCACAGAGGGCATACCCTCATAAAAGAAAAACAAAACTAGAGCTACTAATAGAAAAAATAAAGCTCCAATCTAGAATAAGGAAATAAATTTAGCAAATTGAAATTAAATCCTGAAGAGATGCGTTTTGAACATCCAGACATTCCATAAGTGTATATCTAGCAACCATATCTGGTGGGCTTGCATAGTTATCATGAAGTCTAGCATTTCGCTCCCTCCAAAGATGCCATAAAGTAGCAACAAACAAAGAATTCAGAATCCTAGAAGATCCATATAACTGTTTCATCCATTGGAATAACTCCCAAACAGTCAACATGACACCAAATTGTTCCGTATCCCACCTGAGTACTTCGCCCATCCAACCCAAAATGATTGAGCATATGAACAAGAAAGAAAGAGATGGTCCCTATCATCTATTCCTTGTTGACAATTAGAACATCTTGAAGCCAAATAAACTTTTCGCTTTTGTAGATTGCACATAGAAGGCAACCTATCCAACATAACAAAAACAGCCGTAACAGACCACCTTGGCCTAGCCTTATTCCAACACAGCCTGAACCACTGCACTTCCTCAACCCCATACTTGCACCTGTCCCAAGCGTTCTTAAAAGAAAAGGATTCTCCTGCCCACAAATATTTTTCATTGTAAGAGTCAAAAAGTGAAGAAACTGTCTAAACGGCAACAAATCAAGTCCCTGAAGCATCTGCCAATTCCAAACTCCATTCTGAATTATTGCGCTCAGTGAAGCATCCCTAGGCAAATTCAAATTTTGTACCATCCTGTGCCCAAATTTAGCTGTAACAGTCAGCCCTGCACACCAAGGGTCTTTAAACAATAGAATAGACCGGCCATTACTTATTTGAAAACCACAATGTTGTAACATCATCTCTCTGACGGCCACCATTGTTTTCCATATAACTGAGTTAGACATTCTTGGAACCACAGCCCAGTAATTACAATTAGGAGTATATTTATGTTTGAACCAAGAGATCCATAATCTATCTTTGCTAGTTAAGAAGTCCCAAACCAGCACACATTTGGAGGCAACCTGAATGTCAATCAATTTTCGAATACCCAAACCTCCTTCTTCCTTAGTTCTAGTAATCATAGCCCACTTCAAAAGATGTAACTTCTTTGCATGCTCCTTACTACCCCACAAATAATCCCTACACATCTTCTGTATTTGGTTAATCACAGCCATAGGGATATCAAAAATAAAGCACCAATACTGAAAAATAGGAGTGATTACAGCTTTAATTAGTTCCAGCTTCCCTGCTACAGATAACAAATTGGAATTCCAACAGAAAATTTTGTTAGCAATGTTGTCAATTAGATCCTTGCAGTGAGACTTCTTTAAACCAGTTGAGTAGAGAGGAAGTCCTAAATATTTAATAGGGAATGATTCCTCCTTGTATTGCAGAACCTCCAACAGACCAGACTTTCTTTTGACTGCTCTAGAAAAAATCACACTGCTCTTTAATGGACTCACTTGCAAACCAGTAACAGCCTCAAATTTCTTGAAAATACTAGCCAACACTCGGGCATTATGAATTGTAGCCTTACATGCCACCATAAGATCATCAGCAAAAAATATATGACATAAATGAGGCTTGAAAGTTTTGATAGAATTGATAACTGCAAGGTTTTTTTTCTGAGCAGCTTTAGCAATGAAGGTAGAAAGACACTCTGTGACTAAAGTAAACAACAAGGGGGATAATGGACACCCTTGTCTAAGACCTCTTCCAGGCTTGATAAATCCTTTAGGAGATCCATTAAGCAGAATGGAATATCTAGTAGATTGAAAAATAGCAGCCACCCAATTGATCCACTTATTACTGAAACCATAGAATCCCAAAGCCTTTAACAAAAATTCCCAAGAAACTAAACCATAGGCCTTTATAATATCAACTTTCAGAGCCATAGAAGGATGCTTTGGATTATTAAAATCCCTAACCATATCGTGAGCTATAATTAGAGCATTTTGAATCCTTCTTCCTTTAACAAAAGCACACTGCTCCACCCCCACCAACTTAGGAAGACTCAAAGCTAACCTATTAGCCATGATTTTAGTGATGATCTTGTATACCAAATTGCATAAAGCAATTGGCCTAAAATCTCCAACCTTAGAGGCATTCCCAATCTTTGGTAATAACATAAGAAATGAGCTACTAACCCCCAAAAGCATAATGCTGAAGTTAAAAAAGTATTGAACTGCAGCCACTACATCCTTGTCAATCACTTGCCAAAACGTTTGATAAAACCTTGCAGGGAAACCATCAAGACCAGGAGATTTATCCAGATGAAACCCCATCACCACATCCCTGACTTCTTCATATTGAATAGGAGCATCTAACCTGAAATTATCATCTGCTGATAGAGTATGTCTAGGAACAAAATCACCAACCTGACTATCCACCTGTTTAGAGAACAAATTCTGATAATAATCCACAAATCTCTGACCTATATCTTGCGAATCCTTAAGAATTTGACCATCTGCACTCTCAATGCTAGTAATGGCATTAAAGTTCCTATGCTGCTTTATTTTCTGATGAAAAAAGGCTGTATAACTATCATTATCCTTTAACCACAAAGTTTTAGATTTCTGTGCTAACAGGATTTCTTGATCAGAAATAGAGGCCTCATACTCTTCTCTCAATTTATACTCGGCCTCAAAGAGACTTTCAGAAGGATTAACCAAAAGATGTTGCTGAAGATCTTCAAGTTTCTGAGTAGATTGCAGAACCCTCTCCCCTATATCCCCATATATGTTTTTATTCCAATTTTTTGTAGCTATCTTAACCTATCTGAGTTTCTTGATCAACCTGTGCATAGGAGATCCAAAAACCTCCATTTGCCAAGCATGTTCAACAAGAGGAAGCACAGCATCTTTAAGGCACCAAATTTTCAACATTTTAAAAGGCTTAGGTCCAGTTGCAAAATTCTTTGATACTTGCACCAAAATCCCATAGTGATCAGAGCTCTTTGCTGCTGAATACGTCATCTTTGTACTAGTAATCTGATTCAGCCAGTGATTATTCAAGAAAACCCTATCAAGCTTTACACAAATTCTTTTAATTGCCCTTTGCCTATTATTCCAGGACCATTCACCATTAATTGCTGAGATTTCCAACAATTCTGCATAAGCAAGAATTAAACTCATCCAACAAACTTTGAGAAACTTTTTTACCTCCTTTCTTATCTCCATGAAAACGAATAGCATTCCAATCTCCAAGAGTAATCCATGGTCCCATAGCTATTGTAGAGTAATAAATGATGTATTTCTATAGCAACTTCCTATCTACAGCCCTATTTGCAGCATAAACAGGAGTGCAAAAAAAGAATTCACCAGAATTTAACAAAGTAACTTGCGACAACATACATTGATCTTTTATATCAAGTGCTTTAACATCCAGCACAACCGGATTCCACCCTACCCAGATTTTCCCCAAACCATGAGCTTCGTAATTATTAATCCAAAACCAATTAGGCATAACCTTTTTTGAAATAGAATTAAAAGAACCAGCTTTCACCCTGGTTTCAAGCAAGCAAACAAACTGAGAGGAATTATTGGTTATCCATTTCCTCACCTCCTTCTGTCTTCGAGTCTTATTTAAGCCTCTCACATTCCAAGCCCCAATCATTGGGAAGAAGATGAAATATGGGACACAAGTCCCACTTTGCTTCTAGTTATCCTAGATGAAACACCAATCCCAGGCTTCTTTGGAATCTTACTTGCATCTTCCTTATGTATCGACTTAGGTTCCCAGTAGAACTTAAATCATTCTGAATCGCAGCCCTAGCATCTGTATTATCCTGTACCTTTTCTTGTTCCTCACTTGATTTGAATCTAGCTGCAGAAGAAACAATATCCAATCCCACTGGAGAATATATCTCCACATCACTTGTAATCTCAACCACCTTTTCATTTCTCTGCACTTCAACTATATTAATACTCTTATTTGAGTGGATCACCACTAACTACTTTACCTGGTTTGTAAGTTGGATATTCTCCTCCACCACTGGTTCCACCTTATTAGGATCATTATCTTCCTTGTCTGATAAAGCAGCAAAGGAATTTGAAACTTGCACAAGTTTGGGGGACGCTGATGCATGTGCTCTTGCTGGCATTTCATCAATCACTTCATCTATAGCAATGAGCTTACCCTTGTTCTTCATTACCCACTTATCCACACCCTTTTTAGGTTTCATCTGTAGAATTTTCAGAGGGAATCTGTCCTCCAAGTGATCAACTTTTTTGCATAAGTCGCATAGCTTTGGTTTCCATTCATATTCCAGATCAATGAAGTAGTCACAACTGTGAATATCTACAACCATTGTCTCAGGTAATACCTCTTTAACCCCCACTTCCACCATGACGCGGACATAATCACCCTTATCTCTATGTAAGTCTGGATCATCCATATAGATAGGTTTCGAGAAGTTTGAACAAACCTTGGACACTGATTCTTCATTATGGCAATGTACAGGAAGATTATGTATTTTTAGCCAAACTGGAACCGATTCCAAAACTTCCTTAGGCAAATTGACATTCTTATCCCATTGTTTAATTATAATCGGCCTGCCTTTAAATGTATGAATCCTAGATAACGTCTGCATGACCTCTTCTTCTGAATCGAAATGAACAATGAAGAAATTATCTTTCAAGTAAACCACTGTTACTTTCTTGGCCCATCAGTTCTCAACAAAACCTTTAAATCGATGATAATAAGGCCTTTTCCCCATCACATAACCGATCACTGAGTTTTTCCAATAGAAAATCTCCTTTGCAACATCCTTTTTCTATGATAGACACCTTGGCGCCGTGGATCTCACGATGATATGTGAGATTTGTGAAAGATTTCGAAGAACCAGAAGAAAAAAGATTACACCATGAAGAGGGTGACGTTTGAGTAGGTGAAGAAGAAGAAGAGAGGTTAAGGTTAGAAATAGGAGAGTTAGGTTTAGAAAGAGAAGAGGTAACTGGATTAGGGTTAGGAGACCGGCCCTGAGAACCTGCCGGTATAGAGGAGGGAGAACCCCCTTCCATTATGCACCACCCTTCGAACCCTAGCTATGTAGTCGCCTAGCAGGGTTAATTTTTTGAGTCATTTGGCGTTGCTGTAATGCTGACATATAGATATGTTTTTATTATATAGGAGTAAACAATTCATGATTTATTACTTTGACTTCTCCTAAATTCATTAGCTTGTTGTCAAAAAATGACTTTAAAAGTAAAAAGGTTATATTATATTGCATTTTTACAAAAGAGAGAAAAAATTGTGATAAAATTTGGTCAATACCTAAGTCACATAAAGTGGGAGCGGGAACGAAAGTGAATTCGAGAGTGGGAGCGTGAGAGTGGCAGAATTAAATCATAAACAGTGAGATTTTGAGCGAGAGTGTGCTTGGAGCGTGAGAGTGGGAGCGCACTTGGAGCGTGAAAGCGACACCTATTGAGAAGGATTGTGTAACTTAAGTCAATACAATTAAAAACATAATAAAACAATAATTTCCTCTCTTTTATTACCACAATTTTTACAAACATAATATAAGATTAAAACTATAGTATTATTTATTAATCAACCATACAGTATAATTAGAACTATACTTTTCTTAATGAATCAACCATAGTAAGATAAGAAAGTTCAGCAACATGGCCAAGAACTTCCTCATGTGGTAATTTATGTTAACTATCTGTTGAGTAAAGAAATGTCTATAAAAAATATTCCTCATTTGGAGGCTATGTATTAATTAAGGTAGGGAAACTTTACTATTCTTTAGTTTCCTCCAATATCTCAATAATTTTGTTACATTAAATGTTTCACTAAAATCAGCACTATAAAATTTTAGCATTTTCACTGTCAAAATAAAAGAATAATGGATTAAATATATAATGTTGATGTTCATCCTATAAGTATGTTATTTGCATATGCAAAACCGTATGACAATTAACCTTACACAAAAGTATGATAATTAATATCGTAAACTTGCAAACTAATTACATCAAGGAGTCATGATAATGTAGAGTGATCTGCCCATGCCTTGGCTTTCAGTAGGTAATTACTAATGCACCCAACTTACGGCTCAGTATTGCTCCTAAATGTATTATTCAAACCTTTTCATTTGAGGTAGAATTCAAAATATGTAGCCAAACATTTTTCCAAGTTTGTTTGTTTGTTTGTTTATTTTATTTTATTTTATTTTATTTTTTTTTTTTAACAATTGAAGGGTACTTCTGTAAAAAAATCAAATTAGATAGATGATTTAATATAAAACATCTCACCTTATCAAATTATATAGAAAGTAAGATTACTCTGAAGTCGACCTCATAACAATTGTCACTATTTTTTCTTTTGAATTAACACATTTTGAACACAAAAATAAAACACAAGTTACATCATTCATTATCATTCATGCCTTTAACTCATATGGATGGATCGGTCACACAAGTTACGTCATTATGTTGTTTATGTTAAAATGGTTTACTTCAAAATCAGGGACGGAGCCAATGAAGGCTTGGGGGGGGGGGGGGGGGGGGGGGGGCGCAGGTACGTGCCCCCTCCTGAATTGGCTAGCAACCTATAATATATGTGGTAATTTTTTAAAAAATTTCCATATATATGACAAAATTTATATAGTGCCCCCCTCAAATTTGTAATTCCTAAAATTATATTCTTATTTTTTCTTTATTTTCTCTTTTACTCTTCAAATTCCTTAAATAATATATGTGGTAATTTTTAAAAAAATTTCCATATATATGACAAAATTTATATAGTGCCCCCCTCAAATTTGTAATTCCTAAAATTATAGTCTTATTTTTTCTTTATTTTCTCTTTTACTCTTCAAATTCCTTAAATTTCCTTAATAGAAAAAGTCAAATTTTTCTTCCTCAATTGAAACTTTTTAACTATTTCCTATTAAAGTTATTTCATTTTTATTTTCCTTTTATATTTTAATAATTTTCTTCTTCTTTGTCTTTTTAAATTTTATAATTGTTATATATATATGTGTGTGTGTGTGTGTATTATTATTGTTTTTTTTTTTGGCAGTGTGCCCCCCCTCACTTGAAATCTTGGCTCCGTCACTATTCAAAATACCTTATAAGGATTTTTATTGACAATATTGAAGGTGGCTGGGTCCTTCCATAATGTAGAGAAATGGAGGTTAGAAAAGTTGTAATGGAAGATGTTCTACGTTATTAAGGGCTTCTATTGACATAACAAAAGTTATAAAGCCTCTTTTGGGGGTGATTAACTCTCTCTACACTACTAATATTTCGTTAATAATTTTCATAGATCAGTGCAACAATCTATTATGCATTGTTTTAATTTTGAAGTCCAAAAATCAATTGCATGTTTGAAAACAAACCTTAACAAATTAAGTCCATTTTCATAATATCACCAAGGACAAAAGTAGTCCAAAGTATTTACTGATTATACCAATCCAAATTCAAAGTTACTTTTTTCTATATTGTGATTGGATTTTTTATGATGAAATTTCCAACCTAATCAGTTTCCATGTCTCAATCTTCACTTCTACATTAAAGAGTCTTTACTGTGAGATATTATATATTTTGACAATTATCGTAGACATAACTAGTCCAATTTGAGTTGTAATTTAAATTACTTGTTCTACAAGTCATAAAGTTCAACTGGGATTACAAAACTGGGAAGGAGTTCAAACTTACCATACTTGAAGAGTTTGTGAAGAAAAGGGTAAGGACACTGATTCAGGAAGGAATATGAACAAGGTTGGACATTCTACACTTACCATGTTAGTATGAAATTATAGTAGAATGAAACAAGGCTGCAAGAATTCGAGTATTTAGGTTTGCCAACCTTGAACCAGTTCAGTTTCCTTGCTTGAACCGGTTCAAGACGCTCAAGTTTGAGTCACTGCCAAACTTGAACCGGTTCAGCCTCCTTAAACCGGTTCAAGATGTCCTGTTTGCAATACAACTTCAGTTTCCTTTTTCTAAAGTATTTCCCAGTTGGTCTGGAATTGTACCAAATCCTATGCACAAAATTTACCTTATTTTCAAATAGATTAGGTCATTCCATATTCTATATAAACCATGTCATATATATTAGTTTATTTACGGCTTTTACATTATTATTTAGAGATTATTCAAAGCCTTAGGAAGATTATTTTTGCAAAAAATCAGAGTTGATTTTTCTGGTATCTTTCTAGAACACATACACATAAACACACAGAGTTTAGAGCTGTGGTGTTCGAATCCTAATCGTGATCATACAGTTGTATTAACATCGATTAGACAAAGCAGATCTTCTACATCATTTAGACAATTAAGGAATAGAAGTAAACGTAGTCACACTTTGGAAGGGTTGGAGCATTTGTGGAGTGCTGTCTGATCTACCTGCTACTCTTCTACAAATATCAAGTGTAAGCCTGAGGTCAAGTTGCTGTTGGACGGGAAGTCGCAAGCCAGAGGATCGTCAGCGGTTGGTGTGGTGTAGGACGATAGGGTGTGAGCTAAAGTCAAAGTTCGATATACTTTGTTCTAAGCATAGTGGATTGGTTTACTTTGGACTGCACAAGTCCATGAGGTTTTTCCTATTACAGTTGATGTATTTTATCAACTGAGGTTTCCTCGTTAAAATCCTAGTGTCATCTCTAACTTTATACTTTGCTTTATTTTATTGCATGCAATTAATTATCTAATTGCTAAAATAAGTAAAGTTGGTAACGACACAGATCTGTTTACAAAACTTAAAACTTTCCTGTATACATTTCGCTGCGTGCGACTCACATTTACAAATTCACCACAGAAACAACCCAATGGTTGGTTTAAGTGGGTAAATGTAATGGGTGAACGCTTCCCCATTTACCCAGAAGCTTAAGCTATTAGGTAGTGCTGCATACCCACCCATTTATACCGATTTCACTTTTCATCGGGATCCGATATAGGACAAGTCTCCTCTTATAACATTATCTCCCACCCGAACTCGTAACACCTTTATTGCGGTCGAGTCACCTTGCTTACTCGAGTGACACAAGATTAAGGACTGAGTATGGCTCTGATTAGGGCCGGCTCGAGCCTTAGGCGAGTTAGGCAGCATAAGGCCCAGCCAATAAGAAGGCCCCATAATTGTTTATTTCTCTATATATTATAACTTTCCTAAAACAATTATAGTATTTTCTTTAATTATTAAACTTCAACGTATAGAGAAATTTGACAGTTGACCTAAAAGATTTCTAATCTTTTTTTTTTTTTAGGTCCCCCAATTTTTTTTTTCTTTATACATTATAACTTACCTAAATATTTTATTTTCTTATATCATTAAACCTCAACAAATACAAAATTCAATAGTGGTCGCAAAATATTTCTACCCTAGTATAATCTTCTTCTTTTTTCTTTTTTTTTTTTTTCTCTCTCTCTCTCTCATCCTCATTACATCATCGATCATATATACACACATATTAAAATTAAATATTAAATATATATTTAAGTGAAAATTGGTGAAACTTTATATATTTTTCTAAGACTCCTATTAATTTTTTTTTTTTTTTTTCATTCCTCGCATATTTTTTCTCCTCTCCCATTATAATTTTTTTTTTTTTTTTTTCATCTTCTCCACAGTTACAATTTACAATCT